CTATCCCAACCAAGCCAGCCCGCAAAAAAAAATATAATTCCGGGGGAGCAAACGCTTTTATTATACGGCATTCGGGCAGCTGCTGGACTACCCCCTTTGACATTTGATTGCACGGCCTCGGTACAAATCATTTTAGAAGGAATCTTAGCTTTGAGGCTGGCCTGGAGGCTTAAGATTTGATGGCCCGACAACCTCAGGCCTCAAGGTTTAGGAAGCCTCAGCCCTTAGGCCTCTGGATCCAAACCCAACTAGCCCGCAAAAAAAGAGAAAAATTCCGGGGGAGCAAAGGTTATATATTATACGGCATTCGGGCAGGAAATTTGATTGCCCGGCCTCGGCACAAAAGCATTTTATAAGGAAATCTTAGTTTTGGGGCTGGCCTGGAGACTGAAGATTTCAGGGCCCGACAACCTCAGGCCTCAAGGTTTAGCTCAGGTAAGCTCAGATGAGCTCAGCTCAGGTAAGTTTTTTTATCTCTCTTCCGAAACCCATGCCCGAAAAACTGTTCATTATAGTGGGGGGCAGCCGAATCTTTGTCCCCTGAATTATTTTTTGAAAACTTTTCACTATTAACGGGGTGCACACTAATCAGGATACAACACTACAGAGTGTAGGTTTCACCCTAAACCCTACACCCCGAAATCCTAATCCCTTCTAAGGATAGGGACATGGTCCCTTAGTAGCCTTAGTGTGGGCCCTCAAACGGGGACCCGTTTGTTTAAAGGGGGTAAGGGACCACATTAAGCGCCCATAGAACTACCCATACTACCCTGCTTCAGGATGCCTAAGTTTTTTAAACAGTGTGAGGCTTATGATTTGGGTTGTAGGGTTTAGGGTTTAGGGTTTAGGGTTCGCAGGGCTGTGGGTGCTCGGATTCATTCGCCCTAAACCCTACACCCTAAGCCCTAGACCCTGTTAGGGCTTGCCTATAAACCCTCAACTCAAAAGCCTTACAACCCAAGACCCAAGAGCCTACAGAACCTAAACCCACAAACCAATACTCAACATAAAGCCTGAGCCCTATCAAAACCTACAAAGCCTAAACCTCCATAAGGCCCGACAGTAAGCCCCAGTAACCCTAGCCACCCCCCCACGAGCCCTAGCCTGACTCCGCGTGCAGGTGGAAGCCTTCACCTCCCGAACGCTTTGATCCGAAATGCCAAGACCGGGGTTCTTGATAGGGAACTTAAGTTGAGCAAGCCATGTTGTATGTTAGCCATGAGTTTAGGGTTTAGGATTTAGGGTTCAGGGTTTAGGGCTAGGACCCAGACAAGGCCCTCATTCCCTTTAGGCTCAGGGTTCCCTTGCAAGCCCCTCAAAACCAAGAAAAGGGCACCCTTTTCATTCCTAGGCTACTCTCGCGTCTAGATGACAAGTTAACCATGACAGGGTTTAGGGCTTCGGGTAGCTGCCATAGTAGAATTACATGACAATGAAACAACATCGTTGCCTACGACCGTATCTTCGTTTACATTCCTGGAGGATGTGGGAGGCGCTTTCAGGGCTTGCACAAGGGGCATTGGTCTCAACCTTGAAGAATTTCTGGGAGGTTTTCCGAAATCTCGGGCTTAGGATTTAGGGTTTCTGGTTTTGGGGTTTAGCGTTTAGGTGTTAGGGTTTAAGGTCTAGGGTTTAGGGTGTAGGGCCTAGGGTGTCGATGTACCAACACTCTTGGAGCCCTATGGCAAGGATTCTAGTATGGGGTAGGAGAGTGGCGACAAGCGGCACCCCTTTTTTAGGAGATAACATTTCCGCGATCGGTGATAAGTTTGCTTCGCTGTTGGTTGGATTGAAAGCAGAGTACTGATTACTCATGCCATGGCTTTAGAATTACGATTCAATTTTGGCATTAGATCTTCATTCCCTCTGGGACATTTCTTTTTTGTAAGGCGATGCCTGAGCATTTTAGGGTGGTTGGTTTTGCAATGGGGCTCAGTTTGGGCAAGGCTGTGCAGGGAAGATTCTTGGACAGACAAAACTGGAGCCATAAATAGAACATTGGTATGAGCTGTCCTTGTGCTCCCTGCCCCTGCCCCCCGACGCAGCCCTTCCTGTCATCAAAGTGTGGAGCGCTAAGGGAAGTAGTTCAGCTGAGCCCCTTATGGCCAGCGAATTTTCCACGGCCATGACGGAGTTTCGGCTCTTGAACGGCAATCTGGTGGAGGGGGACTTCTCTGAGGTCACCGATGCCGCCGGGGCACGCAGGGCCGTTGCCAAGGCCCTGGCAGTGCAGGTGCCGCAGATTGTGCACCCAGACAGCGGTTCAGTCCCAACCAGTCTACATGCGGCAGCGTGCGAACAGATATGTGTATAGGGCGGCAATCCCCGGAGGGCCCAAGGCCCCGCAAAATTAAGGGAAGGCCTCCACGCTTACAATCAAATGCCCCTTGAATATGCATATGCGAAGAAATTATAAAGTTATACAGATAGAGCAAAGACAGAAATCACTGGACCAGATATTCCTATTCCATATAAACCCTAACCCTTAACCCTAAAGCCCAAACCCCCTTTTTTTAACCCAGGCTGCTCGGATCCAATGGCCCGCTGGGTGACAAGGAAGCCCTTCCCGAGTTCCTCCAGGTCTACATCCAAGAGGCGCAAGCTTGGGGGCTTGGAGTTTAGGGTTAAGGGTTTAGGGTTTAGGGTTTCGGGTTTAGGGTTTAGGGTTTAGGGGCCGAGCACTGCTGGGGGTTTAAGAGGTTTAGGGTTTGGGGCTAGGGTTTATGATGGACGGAACTTGTGGGACATTGCCAGCTGGATTAGAGGTGAAGATCTCGCTGGAGCAGTTTGGGGAAGCAGTGTGTTCCTGGGACCCTCTTTACTCACAGTTTTTTCATGGCTTATACCTACTAAATAATTAACTGAACTGTAAGTAAATATTTGGCGGTTCAGGGTACTGATTAAACCAATGAGAACTGTACTTAAAACCCACTTATAGTGCCCTAGTGTGGTTATACATTGGGGGGGGTAGAAGTACAGCTCTTATTGGGTTAAGAAGTACCATGAACCTCCAAGTCTAAACCCTAAGCCCTAAACCCTAAACCCTAAACCCTAAACGCTTGTAGGTTAAAAAAGAGTCCCAGGTTACAGCCTTGAGCAGCTGAAGACGTTGACCCGCTTGAGCCTGGCTCCGGGGCGACCGCGGCTCTGCGCACTGC